ATGTGGCCAGTGCTTCACTGTTTGTTGAACCAGTGGAAGAAGGACAGTCAGAACTCCCGTGTCCTGAGCACCCGGCACCACGCCCTGTGTTAAGGAGAGTGGTCCCATCACATTGGGGTCAGGGAGGTGACCACTGCTACTCCATTATAGCTAAGGAAGCTGAGGGGGAGTGACAGACAAGAAGGGCCATGGCAGGACTTGAACCCGAGTCTGCCCGAGACGTGGGCTGTGCTGAGGGAGGCTGCTCTGGAGCCCGGGCTCCTGTCGGGGTCACAGGGGCAAGAAGGGGTGTGGAGGGGGAGCAGAGGCAGAGAGGTAGCAAGAGCAGGGCCCAGGCGGAGCAGAGGACAATGTGAGGGGGCGGAAGTTCCTGGGAGAGGGCCCTAAGAGGCTCCCAGAAACAGCCCCTCTCTAAAATGGCTTTTCAAAAAGGGTGCTTGTTTTAATCTTTAGTACTTTTTTTTTTCCTGATTAGATAATCAATCTCTATCTGAGAAAACCAGAAAAGCCTAAAGAAGGAAATTTCCACTCAGAGAGGCAACCCGGGTTGGGTTTCCTTCCTGTACCGACTTCCCCTCTGCACCCTCCACAGAATCCAATCCAACCGTTCGTTCAGTCTTGACCCCTTTGGTCACTTTGTGTTACGTCACAGGCGTTTTCCTACTTTGTTAATTGAAAACTTTCACAAAATAATGTTGATTGAAAACTTTAACAAAATATTGGTGTTTTCTGATAAAAATCTGCCTTAGACATGTTTACTGTAGGAAAAAATGGTTAAGATAGGAAAATCTAAAGAAAGCTCCTCCGTAATCTCACCATTCCACTGACCTCCTCTTACCCTTCTTCTCTGAACTTGGCTTCCTATGCACATTCGTTAAAATGACACGACAGACACAGACGGACTTCAAGAGAACTAGACAGACTTCCTCCCCCAGGATTCTGGCACCCTCTAAGTCAGGGGGCACAGTGAGCCCAGGCAGGAGCCCACAGTGGGGAAAGGGCCACCCTGGGGCCCCAGGGCAGCAGGGATCACACCAGCCCATTGCCACCATGCCAGCCGGGCCTGGTTAGCCACCTCCTGATTTTCTGAAAGAAGCTGTGGACTCCCGTTAAGTGGAAGGCGTGTGGGGCAACCATCAGACACCCCCTCCTCCAGGGCCTGGGGTGTCCGGAGCTTGTCAGACCATGTTCATTGTTGAGGTTTTGTTGTTTGTTGGAAAACTGAAGAGGAAGAAGTTCTTTTTCCATGATGCAAACTGCAGAATGGGATCATTGAACAAAATCTCTGCTGGAGGGGTGGGTGTCAAAAGTATTAGAAAATACCTTTTATGTATCATGGTTAGCAATGTCACGAAAAGGTCTTCAAAATTTATTCAGTGTCATTTCTTTCCCAGATGGCGATGTCATTCTGTGGGACAGGCAGTGTCTTCTACAGACCTCACTCAGTAAACTATTGTTACAGAAGCTTCTCCCCGGGCAGCGGCAGCCCTGACAACTGGTAGACAGGCTGGCAGAGACCCTAGCCCAGGGACACCCATTCTATTAGGGAGTCAGAAAATACAGATGCAGTTGAGCCAACTGTAGAGACCTGTATTACCTAGATGGTAATATTTTTATTTTGCTTTTTCACTTAACATAACGTGTCCAGAACATTTTTTCACACCATTAAAAATTTATTCGAAAATATTTGTTTAAAAACCTTTTATGGAAGGAGTCCATCTCTTGGGAAGACCTTACTCATTCCAGTTTGGGAGACTGTCCGAGCGCCTTCGCTCAGGCAGCACCGATGGCAGAGCCTAGTCCTGGAGCCAGGCCCGGGAGGGGGGGCCGCTGCCCTCCTGGGCTGCCCAACCCACTGCCTCAGAAGGGCTGTGAGGGAGGACTCAGGGAGATAACAAGTGAAGGGGGCTCAGACTAGCACCTGTCGCGTGTCGCATGCTAGGGTTGCAAATAAGGGGGCTGCTCTGTTCATTGGGACTGTGTTCTGGTGGAGGCAGTCAATGGGGGACTTTGAGAGTCCTCTGAACGCCCAGATGTATGGAAAGCTCTGGGGGGAGAGGGGAGATGCGAAGGAAGGACAGGAAAGGGAGGGAGAGAAAGGAAGAGGAGAGGGGGACATGAGGAGGGGTAACAGAGGAAAGAGGAGGGGGCAGGGGGAAGAGGAAGGAGAGATGGGAGGGAGGGAAGGGGCAGGGCGGGGAGAGGGCGGGATGCCCTGCAGAGGTGGCAGCTCCTCCCTCACTCGGGCGCGGGGTCCTCACCACCCTCCTGTGTCCCCGCAGAGAGCGCCTTCGCAGACACGCTGACTCCGGCGCGCCTGGGCCAAGCTCGCTTCAGCGCCTGCCTGCCGCCCAGCAGCCACGACGCGGCCAACTTCGACAACAACGAGCTCGAGAACAGCCAGGTAGTGGCCAAGCTGGGCCACCTGGCGCTGGGCCGCGCCCCGGGC